CACATCCCCCGCCCCCATGACCACCATTGTTCAGGAGAATATGAAAGAATTTCTTCCATTAGAATTGAGGGATATTTAAAAAATACTTCTATTTATCCCCAGACTTTACACTCTATAGGTTTTCTGGCCAAGCAGTTTGGCTAATTAATAAGCAAAGTTTTCCCACTGTGTCAGATCATATTTATGAGTCCTATGCACTAAGAACTTCAGTGACTTGGGAAAAAGTTAGAGAGCAGTGCATCTACTATAAGGAAAGGCACTGAGATGCAAAAGGGGAATCTGCCTGGAGTGTTGGTGAATTTATCATGGTTAGTGTTTCTGATCCTTAGGATTACAAATTTATAAACACTTGAAAAAGATCAATTATTGAAAACTCAAACAGTTTTTGTAAGTATTACTGTTTGATTCTCTGTAGGCATGATTAATGATCATGCTGGATTAAGAATTCTGTTTTTGGGGGCACCTGGGTGGCTCAGTCAGTTAGGTGTCCAACTTCGGCTCAGGTCATGGTCTTATGTTTCGTGATTTTGAGCCCCACATCGGGCTCCATGCTGACAGTGCAGAGCCTGCTTGGGATTCTCTCTCTCTGTCTCTCTCTGCCCCTCTCCCACTCACTCTTTCTGTCACTTTCAAAATGAATAAACTTAAAAAAAAAATAAAGAATTTTTTTTGGTTTCTATAAGAAATGGATTGTTGGATGTTCTTTCAAAAAATGAAAGGATTTTTCCTTAAATCTTCACCTCCTATATGCTAAATACTTTCTCTTTAATGACATATCCCTTATTTTAACTCATTTATCAGTGGTGTTCAATAGCCACAAGACCTTTTCTACCCCTCCTTTTTGGCATCTGATTCCATCTTTCCATTTATTTATTCATTTCATTTACATTTTTACTCAATCCTATAGGAATATCTTTAGCCTTTAAAAAGAAAAACCACTTGATTTGATATAGCATTTCTTTTAGAGCATTTGGTCATCTATTTGTCAAATGTTTGTCGAGTACTTACTATGTGCCCAAGTACAGTACTAGGCTATGAGATGAAATGAGAGTCAAGTGTAATCCTTGCTGTCTAGGAAGTCAGAAACTGGGGAAATTTGGGGTTGAAGAGGAGAGAAGTTAAGAAACATATAAAGAGACATATAAGCAAATGACAATATGTTACTTCTTTAAAGCACATCTCATAAACCTTGTTCTGCCTACTTTACTAGTTATAGTTTAAGAACTCTTCTTTAGTCTCTAGCTTTTGTAATCCTCTCTGTACAGCTGTCCCAGTTATGTTTTTTAAATATCTGATCAAGTTATTCTCTGCATAGCATACCTATGGAGTAAGATCCAGATTTCTTACCATGGTATGGTAGATAGTCTCTGTTTGCCCTTCCAGATCTTGTCTTCAATAGTCTGCGTCTCGGGGAGCTGACCTCAATGGACTGCATGAGGTGAGCTCCCTTCCCTTTTCTAGTTGGAGGTCAGCCAAGGGGAAACATCATCTGGAGATTGAAGACCTGGAGGAAAGAGAGGTCATGTTATTTATTCTTTGGGTTCTCTATTTGTAGGATCATTGCTTGATAGGGACTACATTCCTCCTTTACAGCTATGGTTGTAGCCACTGGTCGCCAGTAACTGTACCTCACCAGAGGTTGATTAACCATTAAGATAAATGAAATTTATTTGTTTATTTTTTTTAATGTTTTCTTTCTTTATTTTTGAGAGAGAGAGTGTGCACGTGAGAGGAGGGTGAGGGGCAGAGAGAGAGGGGGAGAGAGAATCCTGAGCACAGAGCCTGATGCAGGGCTTGATTTCATGAAGGGTGAGATAGATCATGACCTGAGCTGAAATCAAGAGTCGGATGCTTAACTGACTGAGCCATCCAGGTACCCCAGATAGATGAGATTTAAACCACAGGGCCCCTCACTTCCAAAGGCCCTTGAAGGAGGCTTAGGAATATGTTATACAGCTATATATTTTGGTAAAGTTTGCAAAATATATTTTTGCATTCTGTTTATTAAAAAGGACCACCAAAATTGTATAATTGTCAGCCCCTATAAAACTGTATCCTCCTATGTCCTTATCCTTGACCCTTCAAGCTTAGGTAAGTGCAAAGTTTGTAGGGAATGAAAATCTGCTGAATAACCCACTTAGGAAGGTTATGATTGAATATTTAATGAATGAAATAATGTTTTGAGTTGGTTTTATAAAATGAGTGTAAATCCTTCAGGTATAGAAAGATGGGAAGGCCATTATAATAGAGAAAACAGGAGTGCCTGGGTTGCTCAGTTGGTTAAGCGTCTGACCCTTGATTTTGGCTCAGGTCATGATCTCACAGTTTCATGAATTAGAGCCCTACATCGGGCTCTGCGCTGATCCTGCAGAGCCTGCTTGGGACTTCCTCCCTCCCTCTCTCTTGCTCTCTCTCTGTCTACCCCTCCCCTACTTGTGCTCTCTCTCAAAATAAATAAACTTTAAAAATTATTTAAAAAATAGAGGAAACAGCATATTTGAAAAGAATGAGCTCTGTGGATATCTACAAGAGGAGCATACTACCTAGAGACCAAAGGAAGCACGAAAGTCCCAAGTCCCAAGGAAGGAACATGTCTGGAAGTTTTAAGAACAGCAAAAAGATCAGTGTGGCTATAGAGGAGTGAGAGTGGGGAAGAATAGTAAGTAAGAATAGTAAGAGAGTTTATATTGTTTAGGGCCTTGTAAACCATAAGGACTTTTGCTTTTGTTCTGAGTGAGATTGTGAACCATCGGAAAGTTTGAGCTGATATGTGACATGATCTGATTTTCTTAAAAAGGTAGTAGAATGGATGCTCTGTTGAGAATAGATTGTAGGGTCAAGGGCTAAAACAGACTAGGTAGAAGTCTATTCTAATAATTTATACAGGATGGTGATGGCTTGGACAAGGGAACTAATGGTAGAAAGTAGAGCTACCAGATTTTGTTCATGGGCTAGACGTGGGGTATAAGAGACATAAAAGAGTCAGGGATAACTTTAGTATTTGGGGCCTAGATAATTGGAAAGGGGAAGTTACTGTTTACTGAGATGAGAAGCAAGCTTGAGGGATGGTTAGAGATCTGATGCTTTTTCCAGACATGTTAAGTTTCAGATGACTATTTGACATCCAAATGAAGAAGGTGAGTAGATAGTTGAATCTATGTTTGGAGTTCAAAGGACTGGTGTGGTTGAGAATATAAATTGAGAGTGGTAAGCATACAGATGGTATTTAAAGCCATTAGAATAGATGAGGTACCAAGAAAGTGAATGTAGAGTAAAAAGAGGGAGAAAAGTCTCATGATCTGAGTTTTGGGGGTCCCTCATACATCAGGGAGGTGGAAGAACTAGCAAAGAAAAGAAGGAGCAGCCAGAGAGAAATAGGAAAACCAGAAGTATGGGATTCGGAGAGCCATGCAACTAAAGTGTTTGAGACACAAGTGGTCAACAATTCTTGATCAAATAAGACAAGGAGTAAAAATAATTGACCATTGGATTTAGCAACATAGAGGTCATTGGTGATCTTGATGAATAGTTGGCAGAGTGAATTTAAGCTCAAGAGCTTATAAGAGGAGAGGAATCGGATGCAATAAGAACAGACAGCCCATTAGGGGTTTTGCTTAAGGGGGGAAAATTGTTAGTTGGGAAAATTGTTAATTGTTAGTTAGGGGGGAAAATTGTTAGTTGCATACAGTGGGTATGCAAGAGAGTTATTGCTTGTTTGTTTTAAGATAGAAATAATATTGTGTTTGTATACTGATGGGAGTGATCCAGCAGAGAAAACAAACAGCTCAGAAATTCAGTCTAATTAACTCATGGAGGGCTATGAGTAACAAGGGCTATGTTATAGAGTTTGCAGTCTCTTTTCAAGGATGAAGATTACAGAGCTGTCTCTTTGTAGTTTGTTCTCAAATATCTCTTGCTATTAAAATGTTATTGTCTAAGTTGCAGAGTTTATGAGGAGAGACCACTTCTGGCTTTACCTTGATTACTCAGTATCTCTCTTCCTCTTTTCTGTTCTCCTTCCCTCCATTTAGCAAACCACAATTAAGTATTTAGTCATTACCAAGCATTGTGCTAGGCACTGGCAATATAAAGAAGGATTGGACTTGGTCCCTGCCCTTGAGTTTGCAGTTTAGTGGGGAGATGAGTCTCCTTTTAATTTTTTTTGAGTGTGATGAGTTTTGTTTTTTGTGTTTTGTTTTGTTTTGTTTTTGAGAGAGTGTGTGTGTGTTGCGGGGTTGGGGAGGGGTAGAGAGAGAGGGAGACAGAGAATCCCAAGTGGTCTCTGTGCTGACAGCATCGAGCCCGATGCAGGGCTCAAACTCATGCACCATGAGATCATGACCTGAGCTGAAGTTGGACACTCAACCCACTGAGCCCCCGGTGCCCCAAGTCTCCTTTTTAGAAACTTGGGGCATATTTCATTTGTTGGGTAAGGCTATTCTTCTTGTTCTTTAGTATCCTCCCATCTGTCTTCTATGTAAAGAACACATTCAAGGCATAAGAAACTTCTTTGGATCTTCTTTGAGCTTGAAACATTCTTCCCATTGTCTCTAGACCATCAGACATTCTTTTTTCCTGTTACTTTCAAAGTATTTGGGGGCTTATCAGATGAAAACTGATAATGCTTTCTTCCTTCTGATTCTCTAGACCTGACTTTTTTTTTTTAATTGGAGTATAGTTCACACACAATGTTACATTAGTTTCAGATATACAACATAGTGATTCAACAGTTATGCTGTGGTTACCACAAGTGTAGCTACCACCTCTCATACAACAGTATTACAATACCATTGACTGTATTCTCTATGTATATTTTATCCCCATGGCTTACCCATTCCATAGCTAGGAGCCTATATCTCCCACTCCCTTTAACTCATCTTGCCCATCCCCCTCACTCTCTCCCCTCTGGCAACCACCAGTTTGTTCCCTGTATGCCAAGTAAAATAAGACAGAGAAAGATAGCTTTGAATTTATTAAAATTTTTTTTGTTATCTTCTTAGAATGGAGCTGGTGTATCAAAATCTAAGGGAAACCGAATTGGATTTGATAGCACACAGTGGGTATGTAAGATAAGTATGAAATTCCTCATTTACAATGTTCTTTTAGTTCATTTGTGTATGTGCTCAATAAGGATTTGTTGAATGATGACAATGATAATAACTACCTTGGTGGACAGTAGGAGTAGGTGTTGGAGGGGAAGAGGTAGGCCCTGTGTCAAGTACTTTACATGCAGTATCTCATGTAGTCCTTATGGAAACTCCATGAAGTCAGTACATATTGTTATCCTCAGTTCACTTAGAGGGTTTAAGGTTAGTTGGCTAATAAGTGGCTGGCTGAGTGCAGATTCTAACTGTTTGCCTTCAAAATCCTCACTCACTGAACTATGGTGCATCCCCAAATGAAAAAATATATGAATCAGAATTGAACTATGAATAAGGGAAGACAATGATTAGGAATTAAAATCTATTCAACATGTTTCCTTTTCTTTTTTTTTTT